GTGTGTGTGTGTGTGTGTGTGTGCGTGTGTGTGTGTGTGTGTGTGTGTGTGTGTGTGTGTGAGATGAGAAGTCAATGTAAATTGTTGCAGGTAGTAGTGACAGAGCAATGAGACAAATATTTTAGCCTTCAGTCATGATGGAGTCTCTTTCATTTAAAACAGGCTGCTAATTTGTTTGAAAAGCATCTGACACCAAACACACACACACACACACACACACACACACACACACGCACGCACGCACGCACGCACGCATGCACACACACACACACACACACACACACACACACACACACACACACACACACACATGCACACAGAAGACATAATGTCCTAATGCGTTGGGATTCTGTTCACAGGTGGGTTGTTTCTCAGCTGCACCTGCAAAGACTCTGCCACTCAAGGACAGCCCTGTCGCCACATCACAGCTGAAGGGCTGCGAGGTTGTGTACGTGTGACCGTGTGAGGATGGAAACATGGCACAGAGAATATGATGGAGCATTTGCTGCCATGGTGACTAGCCCGGCAGTATCTAATAGCAACAGGCTGTTGAGAAGCCTGGCTTATCGGGGCGGTGGGCGGATGGGTGGAGGTGGACGGAGAAGAGAGGTTCACAGATTGATAATAGATTTGAATCCTGATGCTGGCTCAGTTTTTTGGTTACTTATTTACATTTTTAAGTTTAGATTTTAACGACTAAAACAAAATAAAAGCTTTGTTAAAATTTAGTCTTACATGTTTCTCTACACCGTAACACTCTCCTGATGTTCTGACAAAGTACAAATCTACAGATTTACTCGCTTTCCTCCTTCAATTATATTTACCAGTCAGCATTAATGATTGCTTACATCTCTGTGTTCATGCACATGAGCATCCTGCAGAAGTGTTTAGAGAAGCAAAGGCAACAGGTTTGTGTTCATCTGTTGGCTCCCTGTGCACGGTTGCCATGGTGAGAGGGATGTAGAGAGTTTGCTTTGAGCTTTGTAAGTTCAATGTAATTTATCTCTGCAACAGAGAAGAAAAGAACTTTCAGAGTGGTTCTGACCTGTTTAAAGAGTGTATTTAATATGACTGGAGGGGGATCTGAAATGAGCCAAGAACATATAATCTCCTATTGGGAGGTTTATTTAAAAAAATGGAAGATGGCAGAAAAGGATTTGGATTCTGTGTAGCTCACTGATGCTCTCTGATGGTGAGTTTTAATGGTGCATCTCTGGCTGGGTCTCCACAGAGCAGTGAGACGTGTGTTGTGTAATACTCCACATGCAACACAGATGATCTCCTGCTGCAGTAAAACCGTCCTCTAAGGTGCAATTTAAACTGAACGCACAGGAAAACACAGATATTGTCTCTCGTTTAAAGATACTGTGATTGTTAATCGGCCTTAAACAGGTAATGGCACAACAGTTTCTGTCTTTCACTGGACGCAAATCCACCCGATCTTATAATTTAGGGTTCAGTTTTTGCACTTAAATAGTTCATAAAGCTGTGGTATGAAGAGTCAGAAAATAACATTCCTTAGAAAATGATTGGATACAACATCTTTTGTGTATTTCTGCCACATTTGTTTTAGAAACACGAATGCATGCTTTTATTAATGATTTTAGCGTTTCATTGTATATCTTATTTTCAAGCTTGACTGTTGTCAGTATAATTCCATTTTTAATATTTAAAACATCACAGCCTTTAAAGGTGGTTGGTTGTGCTGTGATTTTATTACAGGTATTATTTCAGATTAAAAAAGAACGTTCTATTGTTGTTCTGAGTGGCAATCCTCGTCCAGTGATAAAAAGGTTATTTTGCTTGAATTAGTTTTAATTTCTTATTAAAAATGACATTCATCTAAATAATTTGTTTCTGTGATGTTTGCAATCATCTGCATAGTTAGCAATCACTTATACTGCACTTTGGCCAAACTTTATTCATCATAATATTAGGCAAATCTTTATATTTCAAGAGCTTAGAAATTATTCTAGTACGTTTAGTTCCATATGAAAGTTAGTGATGATGCCTTTCATCTGCAGTTGTGAAGGATAATGTGGAGAAATTCAAATGCAAAAACTCACAAGAAAAAAAAGTTTAATAATATTAAAACAGGGCTGACGAGACAGCAAAGAAATCTAAACTACAGTTCAAAAGTGCTGCAAAATAATCCAACAAAGATTATAATGGGCAGAACAAAGGGCAACAACTGGAGCAATAACAGAAGGAGCTGGTGAGTGCTAAGAGAAACTGGGGACTACTGGACAGGGAGAGCTGATTACTGGGTGATAAACAGATGAGGATCAAAGCTAAGAACTGACTCAGAATCATAACTCTTACTCAACACTTTACATTCAAAATGATTGAAAAGCACCAAAGTGTGACACCAGCCACCTACACTAGAGGAAAACCAAAAGGAGGGATGAAGATGGATAGAAAAGCAGTAAAAGAAGGTCGAGTGACTCTCATGAGACAGTCATTGATTTGTAGCTCCTCTGTTCCTCAAAGTTAACACTGAACCCTCCATTGTGATCATCCAATTAGGTTAGTGTGATATTAGTGTGATACACACAATGCCTTGCCTTTCATTACCACACCTGAAAACATTGTCAACCCATCTGACTAAACTATGTCTGGATGTGAAGGCTGCAGAGCCGATCACAAAGTCCAGGCAGAAACCTGCAGAGCCGATGACGTGGCGAGACAATCGTTACAACAATGCTGTGATGAGTCACAACAATTAAAAAGACATCATTCTTAAACCACAGCACATTAACAGCTTATTGCAGATCCACAACTCATTATGGTCTCGGTAAAAATCCACAAAGGCAAGCACACAAATGTTATGTGTGGAAACTCAACAGTTTGCCAGGTTTTGTTGATTTATATTTCATGTTTCTGAAAACTACTGCATGAAAACAAAACTAAACACAACCTGAAGAAACAGCCTGACAGAAGTCGGCATCTGGAGTCTGTTGAAGGGTTGGGCCTATTTGTGTAATAATTCAAATTAGATCATATAAAACAGGCAAACTACTTAGTCTAGTTATAAAAGGAAAAAGGTGTGGATCACGATAAAAAACATTTTTAATGATTATTTCTAATTGTAATCAGTCACTCTGTTTTTTCCATGCAGGCTGAATGTAAAAATAGCCTCCTACACCTATCTCCTGCATTAGCTTCTGATAGAAAATAGACGGTGAAACTCTAGGATATTAAAATCTCGAAAGATCAACGTCACACTGTCACTGAACATTCATGGACTCACCCATCTTGACTCATGACGGGGAAGGCTGTTGTTGGTTCAGCGTCCAGGAAACAACAGTGACTATCTTGGCTAGTAGAAGCTAACTCCACCACACAGCAGAACTCCTTCAGTCTTGTGTTATTTGTGGAGATAAAACCAAAGTTACAGAGCAGAGTCAGTGGTATAGTGATGCTGCTGTTAGCCAATCAGAGGTGAGATGTCAGAACATGTCTAAATCATGTCGTCTGCAGCTACTTTCTCCACAGGTTGACTTGTACTTCCTGAAACACGCGCTTCTGAACCTTTATCCCCCAGAGTTTGACTTCTTTGCTACTAGAGACCACCAAACTACTGTAATCTGTGTTTGTGCATGTGACATTTGTGATGCAGACCTGCACATTAACCTAATAAATAAACTCTGCATTGTGCATACTTAAAGTTACTTATTGCAGAAAATCAGAAGGGAAGAAAAAGATGTACAGAAGACTTTCTTGAATGGGAACATAATAGGACTTTTTCTCAAGTTATTATAGTTCTATGGTCAATACCAAATAATCATGAAGTTCTCAGCACTCACACCTCACACATAAAGCTATTTCCAAATGTTTATCCTTGATAGCTTCAGTACCTTGCTGAATGAGCTGTTTCAGGGCTCTGTCACTTTGAAAACAACAAGCTGGAGCTGACCACGCCCACCCGTCCCACAAGCGGGCTACTATTAGCTGAGAAGCTCCAATATCCGGTATGGGTTTGGAGTAGAGCCGCTGCTCCTTCAACAGCTCTCTTGTACGTGAGAGGTGGTTCTAATTTCCAAGTTTGTGACATCACAAAAAGAGACTTTTTGAAATGACTTGTTTTAGACACATAATTCCCAAAACCAGCAACTAACATAAAACGGATGAAATTTTTTTTATTTTTTTTTTAAAGTTTGGAGTGTTTATAGAGGCAGTAGACCCACATGGCAGCACAAAAGGATGCAAAATGTTTTGCATATGTCCCCTTTCATGCTGAATTAAAAACAGCATATTGATGCAGAAACAATCTCTGCTGATAAAACACATAAAAATATGAAATGACTGTAAATCAGTAGAAATAACATAAAATGCAGATCTGTATAAAATATTTGCCCTCGTAATTTTTTCTGTTTTGCTTTAATTCCAACTCTTGCCAACTGAAATGTTTTCAAGTGTTATGTCACTGTGAGATAAATGACCTCCATGTGTGCTTTGCAGATGTGTCATTACTGCTGCAGCTGAGACTGTGGTTAACCAGCTGTGGGGGAGCAGAGACGGAGCCTCTTTGTGTCTCCATGTGTGGGTAATTTAACCACAGAGCTTAGCTGCAGCACTGAAGTGTACATGCTGACACAGGTAATTAGGTGGCAGTCATGAAGGATTTAAAGACCCCACTTTCAGGGTTATAATGATGGGAATACCTCGGGGGGGGGGGGGGGGGGGGGGATTCCTTTGTATTGCTCTTTTTTGAAAACTTTGGGTCAGCTTGCTGTTTTTTACCCTCTAATTCATAATTACCCATTAGTCCACACACTTTCAACAATAACGATGCAAGTTTTTGTTTAATCTGATGGAATGCCAAACCTGCATGTTTTAGATGATGTGCTCCTCCAACACACCTGACCTGAAATAATAAATGCTTAACTGGCAGAATCTGAGGACATTCTAAAGGAATTGAATAAATTGATTTGGAACAATAAAACAACAAAAACATGCAGGATGGTGGCCCTTGAGGACCAGAATTAGACCAAAGTCACTTTTAAATTTCTTTTTTTTATTTGACTCTTTCGTATCAATAATTAGACAGCAGAAATCATTCTCATAACACTATATTCACAATCCAACTATTCTGATTCAGCAGGTGACAATTAAGTCTTCTCCTCATGTTCTACAAACACCACTGCAACCTCCCTCTGTGCTACTTGTCACAGCCAACAGAGTATTATTCTAAAGCAGAGAAAAAATAAACACGTAAACAAACTAAAATGCTCCTCAGAGCCATGAACTAGAGACCACATTTATATCAACCTCTAGGAGATTTTTATGGTTCTTCTTACGGTGGCAGCGTTCCTGTGAGTAGCGCTGCCCTCGATGGAGGTCCAGGTAAGGATGCCAGTCTTCAGATGGAGAGCAGAGTGACTTCAGACGCTGCATAAAAATTTTGAGTTTATTGTCAAGTTATGTATTTGTTTGGCTAATTTTCAATCAGCCCTTTTTACAAAAACGACATAAATGTTGGATCAACCACTCTAATACACACCTTCCAGGGGTTTCCCTTTACTTTTATCAGCTGATACACAGCAATAACAGGAATCCAGATTAGGACAAAAGTAACCATACACCAGCCCAGAGCCAAGCCCCAATCTGGATATTCTACCTTTTCATAGGTGGGGGGGACAAAGGTTGCCATAGACCATCCCAAGATCACCTAAAAAACATGAATTATGCCACAATCATTCATTTATTGTGAGAAAAATCCAGCTGTGTATGACAGGGTATCTGCAGGTTTAAGGGAGCCAAATTTAAGACTTTTTAAGACCATTTTTAAGGCCACTTTGACTAAATTTATGCTATTTTTTTAATTAAATGTAAGCTATAATTTCCAGCTATTGCCTGGAACCGGTGCTAACCACGTCGTGAACGTGGGATTAGCCATCCAGTTACCATTAATGTTGCACTTCCCCATGGCGCAAGCTCCCACTAGCTTAACCAGCTAATGTGCTCATCTAAAAATAGCCCCCTTTCACAAACCAACCGAATGTGTAAGGTTCCGCTTACGCCAACATCGTACACAAAAAATGCTGAACTAACTAGAAATTCATGAAAATTTTATAGAAATAAAAGAATCTTGTTTATTGAGTCTTTGGACATTTAAGACCTTTGGAAACTGTATTTAAGGATTATTTGTCATTTTTAAGAATTTTTAAGGCCTTACATTTGGAAAGCTAATTTAAGACTTTTTAAGGACCCACGGATACCCTGGTATGAAATGCAACATCCTCCGTTGATAGGGAACATCTAGTCCGAGTCACAATCTCAAATTAGTCTTCATGCAAACTCTGTTTTATATAAACATTTACACAACATGGTTATTCTAGCAGATGTGTTCAGTTTTTTAATCCTAAATGGTCACAGGTTGTAGCGGAAATGCTAAAGCTAGCTGCTACTATGAGCTCCTACAAATGACTTCAGAATTCCTTATGAGTCCCTGAAAAATGCTAACCCGATAAAAATTTAAGGCTATATAAAACTGTGTTCATGTAAACCACCATGAAATTTTACAAATTATTTTAGTTTCAGTCATTTGGAATTAAACCTTGACTACCTTATCAGTCCCATCAGAACAAATGAACATTTATCCAAACTGAGGTTGTTCAAAAAGAGTTATTTACAACAGCTACTATTTTATTTGTTCATAACCTTTCTACAAAATCACACTTAAATAGATCTGAAACAATCTCCGAGTCTGAGATAAACACAGCTCTCCTGTTTCAAGATGGCACAAGAAAACTAACTTTAAGCGCATAACTTAGTTTTTCGGTGGAAACATTGTGAACATGAAAACGCAGGAATAATGTTAATGATATTTTCTGTACCAGTATGATGCAAGGGCTGATAAAGAACCAACAAGCTCTCCACCACAACCAGAACATAGAAGACTTGTTTCCAAGCATCATCTCAATGTCTTTAATAAAACGGTTTCCTCCTGTGAAATGTACAACAGAAACACACAAGTTGGGGTTTTAGTCCATCTGTTGCTTTTATAACTGCAAGGATGTGTTTCTGATCCTCACCGTATATGTAGGAGACACCTATGATCTCCAAGAGGACCAGAAATAGCAGCACCCAGCTTGCAACGAACTGATCGATAAGAGTCACCCAGTATATCCCTGCCTGTAACACACGCACACACACACACACACACACACACACACACACACACACATGCGCGCACGCACGCACGCACACACACACACACACACACACACACACACACACACACACGCACGCACGCACGCACACACACACACTGAAGATGTGAAACCTGCTGCAGGGTGAGTCATTTGTGTATTTTTCTGACATTCTTAAAGTCAAATGTCTTTTAAGTCAACTAGTTTGCATCTACTGCTCCAATTTGACACATGGTTACACTAGTTGAGTAAAATACGAGAGCCAAGCAGCTGAATGAGACACATCTCCGCTAAATCTGAGTAAGAAAAAGGGTAGAATGCCTTCTCCAGGTCAGGGATGAGGTCCTGGCTAGAGTGGAGGAGTTTAAGTATTGTGTGGTCTTGTTCATGAGTGAGGGAAAGATGGAGCGTGTGATCGACAGGTGGATTGTTGCTGTGTCTGCAGTGATGTGGGCGTTGTACCAGTCTGTTGTGTTGAAGAGAGAGCTGAGCCAGAAGGCAAAGCTCTCAATTAACCAGTCGATCTACGTTCCTACCCCCACCTATGGTCATGAGTTTTGGGTAGATCGCGGAAACAAGCAGCTGAAATGAGTTTTCTCCAAAGGGTGTCTGGGCTCTCCCTTAGAAATAGAGTGAGAAGCTTTGTCATCTGGGAGGGGCTCGGAGTAGGCCAGCTGCTCCTCCACATTGAGGGGAGCCAGTTGAGGTGGCTTGGGCATCTAGTTAGGATGCCTCTTGGACGCCTCCCTGGTGAGGTTTCCCGGGGCGTCCAGCTGGGAGGAGACCTGAAGGAAGACCCAGGACACACAGGAGGGACTATGTCACTTGACTGGCCAGGGAACGCCTTAGGGTTCCCCCAGAGGAGCTGGCACAAGTGGCTGGGTGCAAGTTTGGGCCTCTTTGCTTAGGCTGCTGCCTCCCCGACCTGACTCTGGATAAGCGGACAAAAATGGATGGATAGTCGAGTAAAAACACCTACTAGTTACACATTTGTCCCACCAGTTGAGGCTGAAGTAATTTTAGTTAGTCAAAGTGCTGCTCTAGTAGCCCAAAAGTACTCTAACAACAGAAGACCGTGCTGTTATGCTGACCATCATTCCAGTCAGCACTAATGATGCATCAGCTGACTGCTATCAAAGTGAACGCTGATCAGATAGCTTGGCCAAAGATATGACCTAGTAGACAAATAAAGCCTGGGTACTTACTAGTTGACCTGAATATGTGGTACAGCTAAAAAACATAACAAAGAAAACAAAGCACATGGCTGAAAGTCCCCATCAGCTAGTTAACAGAATGTGTCTTGATTACTTCACCTGTAAATGTTAGTTATGCTTACTAGTAAATTTGCATGAGAATGTTGATGACGTGTTTGGTCCAGTGGTCCCCTGGCTCACGAAAAAGCAACTAGTTGAGTTTTATTGGTGGATAGTGCAGCAACAATTACCTTTAGTGTCAATAATCGGACAAATTTGTCTCTAGTTGTCATAAAAAGTTCCTCTAGTTAGTGTTTTTTTACAATCCAAACCAGTGCAGCGATAGGTCGAACTAGATACAAAAATACTATTTCAGTCATAGACTATTAGAGTTAAAGGACTCCTGATGTAAGGGGTGTTGAATAAATACACAAATGACTTGCCTTAGTGCACAACATCATCATAAACTTACCCTAGTGACACACGGCAGGCCCAGGAGGTAAAGAATGGAGCCTGTTGTTATCGTCAGCAAGGCTCGTTTGGTTTTGAAGGTTTTAGGGAATGCATCAAGCAGGCATGTGGTTAAAACCTCTAAAGACAAGAAAAAAGGATTTTAAGACACTTCAATCAATAAGAGAAACTGTTAATGCTCTACAAATTAAACTGAATGGATCGAAACCTATTCCTGCAAACTGGGAGTCCAGACCGACAGTCAGCAGCATGAAGAAGAACAGGATGGACCAGAGCGGGGAAATAGGAAGCTTGGACAGAGCTCCTGGATAGGCGATGAAGGCCAGGCCAAACCCTGCACAACAATAAATAATAAAACAACCCGTTAGATTGTGCCTCACTGCATTTATTCCTCATTGGGTGCCAAATGGATTGAGCCCCTCACCTTCTTTTACAACTTCTCCAACAGGCATTTTGTACACATGAGCCATGTGACCCAATATTGAAAATATGGCAAAGCCTGCTAGCACACTGGTTCCTGTGGGAACAAAAGCAGACCAGTTGGAATGAACATGTATCTAGCTGACATTTCTGTTTCTGCATTAGTCAGCCCAGCTCCTACCAGCATTAGTAAGTGTTACAACAAATGAGTCCTTGAACACGTTGTTGTGAAAGTTGTTATAAGAAGCCAGAGTCATGAGTCCGCCCCAGCCAATAGAGAGAGAATAGAAGGTCTGAGTGGCAGCGTCTTTCCACACCTACAACACACGATGATGCTTTAGATTTAAACGAACCACACATTCAGTTTTTTCTCAATCTGAATTTGTTTTGATGTTCTGTAAACAGAGAAAAACAATGACTACACGCCTACCTGAGCCTCAGTCAGCTTTGTCAGATTGGACTGGGTGCCAATGTAGAACTCGATCCCATCTTTAGCGCCCTCTAGTGTCACACCTCGGATCAGCAGGATCAAAATCACCAGATAAGGAAATGTGGCTGTGAAGTACACCACCTCCATGGGTGAAACACATAAAGGGCTCAGTGAGGGTGCTTTAACTACCACATGGCCTAATATTAAGATACATCATTCTGTTTAAAAAAAGTAAGTAACATTTCACTTATTGGTTATAACGGTTTGAACAGCCTCAGTTTAGATAACAACAGATTATTTATAACCAGTCACAATGGATGACTAATGTAAAAACACCTACTTTCGCTAAAACGCCATGAACATTTACACTGCCACAAACAATTATGATCATTGCTGCTAAGATTTTTGTTAGATCTGTAGCAATTCTTAGATGTTCCTATGTCTGCAAAAATATTTATGATAGTTGTGATTGATGTGGGTCAATGTGAAATCACTGACTTTTGAAATTAGAAGTGTTTGAAGATGACAGAACTCTCCTTTGGCTTCATCCTCACATGAATTCAATCAGAGCGTCTTGTTCAAAAAGCTGTCTACCATAGGTGGCGTTTAAAATGTTTACAAAATCATTAGAATTTTAATAACACAAGGTTTGAATTAGGAAGCAGAAGCAAGGTGTTGAATTGTAAGAAACGTTGTGTTCGTTCTCATTTTGAGTCCACAATGACAAAAACTCTTCTTTTTATCTTTATTGTCTTAATTTATTCTGGTCAAGATGCCTGGCCTGCCAGACTCCTCCTCTGTTGAATTCTGCACAGAGAAAGAGTCTGACGGGACTAGACAGCTCAAAAATAACCAATCAGATGTATATATATATATATATATATATATATATATATATATATATATATATATATATATATATATATATATATATATATATATATATATATATATATATATATATATATATGCAAATAAATATTTGAACACGTTTGAATTTGTCAAAGAATTGCAAGAATATATGAATTTAAAAATGAGAGATTTTTTTATTATTTTTATTTTAATGCTGCTTCAGTCTGTTTCAGTTGAATCAGCTAAGTGGCATCAATTATTAGCTTTAGCTAAATGCATAAATTAAAACAATCCAGTTTTCTCAAGAGTTTACAGTTAAAAACCAGATTGTGTTTAAAGCATACTTGTACAAATTTTAGTTACTTTTCCTGATGACTTGATCCCTTTGATCAACGCTCCTGCAACAAGGATGGAGCTCAACAAGAGACAGAGAGCCAGGTGCCAAACTACTGGTCCTGTTTCATCCAGACCGCTGGATCTCTGCAGAGCTACATGACTAGCGAGACAGGAAAGATGCATTTAGCTTGTGTGCATTCAGAGCTACATTAAACCAGTGCATTTGTGCTTGTTTGCATGAAACAGGCGGCTCTCACTCCCAGTACTGCTCACTCGGGCTCTGCACCGGCACAGTAACGATGTTTGACGAAGGGCAGGTATTGTTATCCTGAGTCCAGTTGGCCATCACAACACCACTCACGTTACAATATGCTATGGAAAAAGAAAAACAATAAAGATATATAAGAGAGTGTCACAACAATGCAGCAATCAGAAGTTTAAACTGTTATGTTTATGTCTTCAAAGTGGCTGAGGCAGACTGTTGCATCTTCTCATTCCTCCTTAAAGAAATAGAATCTACTATAATGGTCAACCTGACCCCAAAAACAACAGGAAACTGCAGATTACCCATAGGTGTGTCACTGCAGTTGCCGTCAGCCCAGCTGAGGCAACTGGACCAGGGCAGAGGGAACTGCATGGAGGCAAACATGTAATACAGGCTGTAGGCTATGATGACGTTATAATAGATAGACACTATTAGAGTCACCATAACCATACCAACACCAACACCTAGAACGAGAGGGGGGGGGGGGGGGGGGGTTAATAATGCATGTAAAAGTAAAACATTTATTTTATTGTGCAAAATGCTTGAGTCTTCAGGGCAGGAAAACTTGCGATGCTTTAAATAAAAAATACACATTTCCAAGCATATATGAAAAATGTGCTAGGAGGATCAGTGTTGTGTCTCATAACAGACAAGTTATCAGGAGCCTGATGCAAAAACGTCATCTCTTCCAAATTCTATGTTTAAATCTGTGAGAAATACCAATAATTACTCAGTCTGACACATAAAAAGTATTCTAGCTCCAACAGAGCGATTCTCCAAGAGCATTGAGATTAAAACGTTTAAAAATGTGCTGCACCAGGTCCCTTTTCAGGTCGTGATGTGTGTGTGTCCCCCCCCCCCCCCCCCCCCAGTTTCTCAAACACGTGACTTTCAGATCTACTTAATTATGACTCTTGTTTTTAGTCCTTAGTTTATCCACTCTCTTTAGTTTTGATGCACACAGCCAAGCGAGCCGTCATGATCAGGTTCAAGAGCATTTTCAGAATGTCTGAAAACTTACAGTCAACACCACTTTAAAGGCTTAGTTTAGAGAATTTAGAGGTCACTTAAAATACGTTAAACACATCATGAATTTCATCCATGTGCTTGTGACCCCTCCACTTTTCCTTAAAAAACTCCTGTAAAGTTCTCTGTTTTACGTCTCCACAAACAGAAAAAAAGTTCCTGAAATCTGAATTTATTGAATTTCTATTTTACTATTAATAATTAATCCACAGTCTTTGCATTAACAAGCTTTTGCTTCATTTGATCAATGATTTATTTAAACAGATATTTGAAGGGTTTCCATTAAGCACAAACCCCCTTGTGCAAATTACAAACATTTACGTACGCTCCTTTTGACCGAGTTAGTCTTAGGAGTGATAAAAGACTTGCATGCCTTTAGAGGTAAGTTGTGTAGACGGAGTTGTTCATTGACAGCATTGAGTAGAAGATAGGATCGTTTGTGGTCAAACTATTTATTATTAACCAAAGACCATATTCTGTCATCAACCTGTCACACAAACCCCCAGCACATCAAAGCCTTCACATCTGAGTTGAGAATAGTTTCACCCTGCAGCAGCGGCACCGCTCTCCAGACGTTGATTGGACCTTGGCTGCAGAACTGCCCAAAGGCACTTTCAAGGAAGAAAAGAGGGATTCCAGCCACCACCAGCATGGTGAAGTAGGGGATGAGGAAGGCACCTGCTCAGAATCATAGGTTTAGTTTTTAAAGCATGGGAAAATAAACGTATGAAGAACAAAACAAACAGTGACGGACCTCCTCCATTCTTGTAGGCCAAATAAGGAAACCTCCAGATGTTTCCCAGCCCAACAGCGTATCCGATCATAGAGAGGATGTAGTCCCTCTTTCTGGACCAGTTTCCACGCTCAGCGTTTTCATCTCCAACATGTGGGTCCTGATTGTTGAGGAAGTCCAAACACATTGGAAACCAATAACTAATAAATGATTAAGCCTGTCTATCAGCATCAGAAAATGAATGAAAAATGCAAATCTGTTAATTATTCCCTCTGTTAAGGTCAAATGTTTACACATAATTGCTGACATTTACACACATTTACAATTTTGTATTTTGTATTCACACATAATTTCACATGAATAATATAAATTACTACATTTCACTCTTTATTTTAATTGGAAAAGTATCAGTTAGATTAAATGATTCATTGTCCCACCTGTTCAACAACTGCAGGGTTCCTAAAGATTAAATCTGTGAAGCTGTCCCAGGCGTATTTCCTCATGTCTGCCTGTTAAAGTCCGATTAGGACTTTTGAATTCCTTCTGTGTGTTTGTTATATTGTCTCAGAGAAGGACGTTTCCCAGCCTATCACCTGGCTTGACCCTCCCTCTGTGGTAGTCTACTTTGCCCACGACTAGTCCTCCTAAACAGGAGCATGATGCTGGTAAGTCAACCGTTCTCACCAAGTCTGATGTGAGGAGGAAGTTATTTAGATCATTTTAGTGATTTAGTTGGTTTGATGTGTTGTGATGATGCCTTTCCTTCTATCTTTGCAGAGAGATAACATTTATAAATAGAAAAAATCATGGATTTTTACTGGATTGTGTCAGTAACATTAACAACAACAATAATAATAATATGTGTGTGTTCATTCCTCCTTAATGCCACAGCTGCTGATGCAGTTCGACACCTCACCTTAGTCACATAATGACAGCTTGTCTGCAGGTGGTCATCATCAGGGTGTCATCATCTCAGCGTGACCATCAGACCACAACCATGATCCCATGACCCAAATGATGTCTACTAGATTAGTTCACATCTCAGAAATGTTTGACCCCTTAACGCCTGAATTCGGTTTGAATTCTAACATTTTTTTTTTCACTTGTGGATTTTCTTTCAGGTACATGCGGTATTTTGGTTGCATTTGGAGCGAATGCAGGTTTGATGCGTTAAGAGGTTAACAGCTGCTGGTGGCTCGGTGAATCGATAGAAAAACAAGCTGATGTGTGTTAGTCGTCTTTATGAACATTGTGCTTAAAAGTGAGGAAAACGAACAAAAGAAGAAGCATCAGGTCCACAGTATGCAGCTGTCCTGTCTTTGGGAAGCAGGAAAATAAACAATAAGACCTGAAACAGGACCTGAGATCTGTTTCATCCTCCAGTTAATCGCCCACTGTGCTCTATTAAACATTTTTTGTAGAAAAACAGATCATGTTTGGTCATTTTCAGCCATAGCATTTCATTAAGTAGACATGCATTACAGTTTATCGTAACACAGATTTAAATAAATAAAACTGCTGTGACGAGTCATTTGTTTATAAGATTAATCCCTATTTCACTGGTTTTACGTGTGTACGTGGGTTGCATTTACAGCAGATAACTTTGGAATTCCCCTTGGTGCTAAGATACTGTTGCAAGCGTCAAACTGTTGTCTTTTGTGATTTTAAAAGATTTAAATAAAGAAATATTCAGAAAGTCCTTTTTAATGAACATCTCCCACCAACAAAGTGTCTAAATTTTTAATTAAAAGTGTATTTATGTTGTTTATCACAGGCAAGGCAAGGCGGCTTAGTTTCTCTAGGTCCTGTCTGGACATGAGACCTCTGAGTCGTGCTATTTGATGAAGATGATAAAACGCTGATCTAGTTATGGCCTTAATGGAAACAACAAAAAGATGCAGGATACCGACCCTCTAGGACTGAAGTTTGTTTGTTCTTTCCCTGCTCCCACACAGTTGATTCATCTGTGCAGCGGCTCATCAAGCTCTCCAGAAGCCTGTTAATCACCTGCTGATTGAAATCAGGTGTGTAAAAACAGAGAAAACACTAAAACATGTGGAATAGCGGCCTTCTCAGGGCTGAAGTTTGGATAAATAGTTACAAATATTTACCAGATTTGATGATGGGAGTGATTCATGGCCGATAATCCAAGACAAATAAATTTGAATGCGTAATTAGGGTAGTCTTTCTAGACTATAGTTGGGACAGAACGCTGCATCATGTTTGCTAACGGGCGCCCGTAGGTATGAGCATGTCACTCCAGTGTTGCATTCACCGCACTGGATCCCAGTTGTTTTTAGAATTAATCTTAAGATCCTGGTGTTGGCGTGTGAATCTTTATTGGGTTGGCACATTCTTACCTAATGAACATGCTTTTGCCATATGGGCTAACACGCCAGCTGAGGTCGGCGGACCAGCAGCAGTTGGTGGTTCCAAGGAGAAGGTTGAAGCTGAGGGGTGACCGGTCCTTTGCTTTTGCTGCGCCTAGACTATGGAACCAGCTACCTGTCAGTATGAGACGGGCCTCTTCACTTGTGGTTTTTACAGTTTTTCTCTATTGGTTTGGCTCATTTCTTGAAACAGAAACTACATTCTCAAAATAATATGGACACACCTCTAACCCTCTTGGCAAATGTTCACAACAGAATGGCATTTCTCATTCATTTTATCAAACGGCAAATGCCTTAGTACATGTCTCAATTGTCTCAGTGCATCTTTGCAAATGATTAAGTACATGTAGCCTACAGTTATACAGGTAGCCCACATTTAGCACATTTTCCAAATGAATAGATCTAAACTGATTAGTTGATTCTCAGTCCAATGATCATTCTCTCCAAAACCTGTCAGCATGATTTCATTGTATAAGTACTCGCATGCACAACTGTCTGTTCAATTGTCAGAATTGGTCAAGAACAGAACACCATGAATACCATATATGAATTTCTTTGAATATTTGCTACATTGATGACAGTCATTGACAGTCAGGTGATACTAGACTAATGAACGGGGAGTGTCACACACACAGGTGATTACCATGATCGTGTGCTGCCAAACACAGATATATAGAACTTGACCAGCGCCAGTCCGATCTCTGAACATGGAGAGACAAGGCCAAGCAAACGGACAAGGGGAAGTTCTTCCTCAAAGAAGAGGAGGAAGATGAAGAAGAAGAGGAGGACTGAGAATGCGTGGTGGAGGAATAGGGGGAAGAGGCCGAGGAGCGTGAAGACACTGTGCTGTCCAGAATGAAATTCGGGCTGCAATTATAGACCACTGAATACGTCCTTGTTTTTTGATTTTGTGTTCACAATTTACTGTATTACTGTAATGTTCATTTTCTTTTTACATATGTATGAAACTTTCTTTGCGTGTGAATAAAAAATGGTTATAATTTCATTGGTAGTGTGAGTGCAAGCTGTGATGTCAAACCTTGGAGGCTATTCTTTTCGGTTATATTGTTGGTCCTCTGCCATAGGGACAAAACATCTAAACACTTTGTATGGCAGCACTCACACAATGCCAAAGGGACGATGCATTTTGGGGGCACTGACTATTCAGATTAGAAAGAAATGTAGTTTTGACACATGAGTGAACTGTTTTAGGAGAGAAATGAGCTTTTGCAGGTAAACCATGTTGTTGTGATCAGCCATCCAGGTTTATTTTGGCAAAAGCACCAAGAATGATGAGAATGTCCGATCTGTGTCGAGAAATGAGCCAAAGCTATTGAGAAGGATCTTTGCCATTTTGGAGACACTGACTGTTTAAATGAGAAAGGGATTTAGATTGAAACCTGAATGAACAGTTTTGGAAGAGATATGAGCTTTTGCAGGTGAGCTATAGTGTTGTGCTAGACTGTAAAAGTGTTTTGCCAAATGGTCTTAGAGGTTGAGAATGTAATTTCTGTTTCAACAAATGAGCCAAACCAATGGAGAAAACCTGTAAGTCTCTTCTCTAGACACACTTTTATCCGCTGGCGTTTAACACTGCCTGGTTGTTCTTATCCACTCTTGTTTGTTTTAAGCTGTGTGTGTGTGTGTGTGTGTGTGTGTGTGTGTGTGTGTGTGTGTGTGTGTGTGTGTGTGTGTGTGTGTGTGTGTGTGTGTGTGTGTGTGTGTGTGTGTGTGCGTGTGTGTGTGTGTGTGTGTGGTTTTTTTTTAGTATGTATTTAGTGTTTTATGTTTGTTTTTAGTGTTTACCTTTGCTGGTTTATCTGTTTTTATCTGCACAGCCCTTTGGTCAACAGAGTTGTGCATAATGTGCTGTATAAATATAGATGGATTGGATTAGATTACATGTTTGTGTTCTGACCCAGCAGCTTTCCTCTCAGGATTTCTTTATTCTACATTTTTCTATCAGTGCTGTACATCCTGAATGAAGTCTCAGCGATCAGAGCTTCCATTTTCACTTGTTTGTAACTTTAGTTGATCATGTGGTCCATTCTGATGTCACATGGTATGTGACTTATCATACATACTCATTCATGGACTGATTTAGCTTGTTCCAGTCTCTGCTGTGTGCTGTTTATTTTTCTTCTTGTCCTTTAGGCTCATTTGGTCAGAAACATTTGACACATTAACCACCAAAGGTTTGTAATCTACATTATCTGCTGTGACTGAGCTGTTGTTCAGCCACACATGACAAGCACAATAAAAATAGGCATCCCCTCATTGGTTGGGCGCCACGCCCAGGGACAAGTCCTGATGCATCATCACTGAAGTGGGGAGCGGTAGGCAGACGATCACAAAACGAACATCAGCACAACTTAGTTTAAGACACATTCTTTAGATAATTCTCCAAATAGCCACAACAGATACCCAACACCACACAGGCCAGCCTGTCTTCATGCTCGACTCTTTGTTTACATCTAGAAGGGGACATACAACATTATTCTTGAGTTATAATCATTTTTGTGTTGATACCAGACACATTCATAAAGTTAATATCACAAATTCCCTCTCACACGAAGCTCTCTTAGCAGTTTTATTCTTACCAATTTCAGGACCTTCCAGAATGAGTTATTTCAGGGCTCTGTTGCCTTAAGAAAACAAGCAGCAGTGGAGGAATTTAAGGATCTTGGTGTCTTGTTCACAAATGAGGCAGCTTGGTGCCGCGTCTGCAGTGGTGCGAGCGTTGTACCGATGTGTCGTGTCAATTTACCGGTCGATCTACGTTCCAACCCTCACCTGTGGTCATGAGCTATGGGTAGTGACAGGAAGAATGACATCACGGATACAAACGACCAAAATGAGTTTTCTCCACAGGCTGGGATTTTTATAATAACATAAGCCAACTAATAGTTCAAATTTAAAATAGATGATGTGTGTGTGTCCTTTAAGGGTTAAAAATAGTTCTGTCATGTTCTGCGGGTGGAGGTGGCAGACCATGTGTGGTGGTGGGTTCCGGAGGCAGATGAGCAGGCAGACGGATGTAAAAAATAAAAAGCTGTTTATTGAAGGACGGGAGCACAGGACGAACGAACATGCACAACGACAATGAACCGACAAAGACAACAACCAGGAGGGAGGTATAAATACACAAGGGAATCAGGAACACATGGGCAGAGTAATCAGGGACAGGTGAGAACAATTAGGCTAATCAGGGCAGGAGAGACACATTCAGGGAGGCTGGGGCGGATCATGACAGTACCCCCCCCTCAAGGGGCGGATACCAGACGCCCACAAGCCACAAAACACAGGAGACACGAACGAAGACCAGACCAGGGCACACATGACAAGGGAACACAGAAGACCAGACCAGGGAACAAGGAACACCATCCAGGCTGCGGAGCAGGGGCCTCTTGGTTCAGGCGGCACTCCGTCTTACGACCAATCAGACGTGTCCAAGAACTCAGTCCAGGGAAACTCGGACTCGTAGACTTGGGCACAGGGGACACGTAGACTTGGACGTGGGCACGTAGACTTGGACGTGGGCACGTAGAGTGGGCACGTAGACTTGACTTGACTGGACACGATGACTTGACTGGACACGATGACTTGACTGGACACGATGACTTGACTGGACACGATGACTTGACTGGACACGATGACTGGACACGATGACTTGACTGGACATGATGACTGGACACGAACACTTGACTGGACACGAACACTTGACTGGACACGAACACTTGACTGGACACGAACACTTGACTGGACACGAACACTTGACTGGACACGAACACTTGACTGGACACGAACACTTGACTCCAGGAACACAGGACACCAGGAACACAGAGGCGAACTGCAGCAGCAGGCGTGGGACCCAGCAGGAACTGCAGCAGCAGGCATAGGCCCCAGCAGGAACTGCTGCGTGGAGAACCTGCAGGCACAGAACCTGCAGGCGTGGACCAGGAAGTGGTTGAGTAGCGGGAGCGACGCGTGGAAGCCCAGCTCGGCGGCAGGTACTCGACATCCCAATCAGAGCAGGTGCACATCCTATCTGCTGGGTCCATCAGCGGAGGCTCGGGTGAAGGGAAGCCGGAGAAGAGCGGGGAGACCAGCCCTACCACACCGGAGAATAATGGCGTGCGTAGGGGGTGTAATTCCCTTGAGGCTCCAGGATCCGCGGCTTCAGGAGAAGAACGGGACGGGGCAAAAAACAGCTGGAGGAGAACGACCCTGGCCACCCCGAAGATAAATAGGATGCGCCAGGATCTCCCAGAGGAACTTCGACCACCCCGAGAACAGGTAGGATGCGCCGAACACAAACTCCAGGCCAGAAATCTCCCACAACTGAAAGGGACAAAAAAGAAACAAATAATCCTCCAGGAACAGATGTGTTAGCTCACCACAGGTCCAGGTTTGGTCGGTTCATTCTGTCATGTTCTGCGGGTGGAGGTGGCAGACCATGTGTGGTGGTGGGTTCCGGAGGCAGATGAGCAGGCAGACGGATGTAAAAAAATAAAAAGCTGTTTATTGAAGGACGGGAGCACAGGACAAACGAACATGCACAACGACAATGAACCGACAAAGACAACAACCAGGAGGGAGGTATAAATACACAAGGGAATCAGGAACACATGGGCAGAGTAATCAGGGACAGGTGAGAACAATTAGGCTAATCAGGGCAGGAGAGACACATTCAGGGAGGCTGGGGCGGATCATGACAGTACCCCCCCCCCCTCAAGGGGCGGATACCAGACGCCCACAAGCCACAAAACACAGGAGACACGAACGAAGACCAGACCAGGGAACACAGAAGACGAGACCAGGGAACAAGGAACACCATCCAGGCTGCGGAGCAGGGGCCTCTTGGTTCAGGCGGCACTCCGTCTTACTACCAATCAGACGTGTCCAAGAACTCAGTCCAGGGAAACTCGGACTCGTAGACTTGGGCACAGGGGACACGTAGACTTGGACGTGGGCACGTAGACTTGGACGTGGGCACGTAGAGTGGGCACGTAGACTTGACTTGACTGGACACGATGACTTGACTGGACACGATGACTTGACTGGACACGATGACTTGACTGGACACGATGACTTGACACGATGACTTGACTGGACACGATGACTTGACTGGACACGAACACTTGACTGGACACGAACACTTGACTGGACACGAACACTTGACTGGACACGAACACTTGACTGGACACGAACACTTGACTGGACACGATGACTTGACTGGACACGATGACTTGACTGGACACGATGACTTGACTGGACACGATGACTTGACTGGACACGATGACTTGACTGGACACGAACACTTGACTGGACACGATGACTTGACTGGACACGATGACTTGACTGGACACGATGACTTGACTGGACACGATGACTTGACTGGACACGAACACTTGACTGGACACGATGACTTGACTGGACACGATGACTTGACTGGACACGATGACTTGACTGGACACGAACACTTGACTGGACACGAACACTTGACTGGACACGATGACTTGACTGGACACGAACACTTGACTGGACACGAACACTTGACTGGACACGAACACTTGACTGGACACGAACACTTGACTGGACACGAACACTTGACTCCAGGAACACAGGACACCAGGAACACAGAGACGAACTGCAGCAGCAGGCGTGGGACCCAGCAGGAACTGCAGCAGCGGGCATAGGCCCCAGCAGGAACTGCTGCGTGGAGAACCTGCAGGCACAGAACCTGCAGGCGTGGACCAGGAAGTGGTTGAGTAGCGGGAGCGACGCGTGGAAGCCCAGCTCGGCGGCAGGTACTCGACATCCCAATCAGAGCAGGTGCACATCCTATCTGCTGGGTCCATCAGCGGAGGCTCGGGTGAAGGGAAGCCGGAGAAGAGCGGGGAGACCAGCCCTACCACACCGGAGAATAATGGCGTGCGTAGGGGGTGTAATTCCCTTGAGGCTCCAGGATCCGCGGCTTCAGGAGAAGAACGGGACGGGGCAAAAAACAGCTGGAGGAGAACGACCCTGGCCACCCCGAAGATAAATAGGATGCGCCAGGATCTCCCAGAGGAACTTCGACCACCCCGAGAACAGGTAGGATGCGCCGAACACAAACTCCAGGCCAGAAATCTCCCACAACTGAAAGGGACAAAAAAGAAACAAATAATCCTCCAGGAACAGATGTGTTAGCTCACCACAGGTCCAGGTTTGGTCGGTTCATTCTGTCATGTTCTGCGGGTGGAGGTGGCAGACCATGTGTGGTGGTGGGTTCCGGAGGCAGATGAGCAGGCAGACGGATGTAAAAAAATAAAAAGCTGTTTATTGAAGGACGGGAGCACAGGACAAACGAACATGCACAACGACAATGAACCGACAAAGACAACAACCAGGAGGGAGGTATAAATACACAAGGGAATCAGGAACACATGGGCAGAGTATTCAGGGACAGGTGAGAACAATTAGGCTAATCAGGGCAGGAGAGACACATTCAGGGAGGCTGGGGCGGATCATGACAAGTTCAAAACTCTGCATTCACATTTAAGATTCACAGAAGAAAACACTGAAAATATTATCAGTTCATCATTAGTTTATTAATATTGACAAAGCACACTTTGTGACACTTAGTAGGATGTTGTACCATATTTTTTGTTTATAAACAACACAAACAATCAACACTTAAGTCTATGTGACGTGTTTAATAACTCAATTATTTAGATCTCTGAATGACCCATATGACATATGGATCCATGTGCGTCTTTAATAAAAGTTTATGAAAGTAATTTTCTTTAGATGTTGACAAAAATAAACAAATGCTTGCAAAAAGCCTTTGTTTAGTAATAATGATGACATCACAACGTTTTCATGGAGCATTTGTTATAATAAAGTGTTCGAAAGCAGCAGGTGACTTGTGTTTGCTTTCATGCAATTCACATTAGACATGAGACGAAGGATAAACAATGACAATAACAGACACATGTCAACAACAACAAACACACATAATGTAAGGTTCTCCGATCCGAGCAGCAAAGTGGAGCCAGGATCATGGTCACAATCATGTCAAGTGTAGTTTGCAAGCTCATATTCTGCTTTTTGGGTACAACGTGTAATTATAGTTTTAATTTGAATCCATGCTTTTGGTCAACATTATTATTTAACACTAAAGACTTGTTTCACATTAGCCTACTGCTGTGATGCTGTTGCCCCCTGCAGTCAGACATCACATGGTGTCACAGAACAGTGTCACACCATAAACGGATTCTATACCGAGTTAAATCTGGATGCTGAAAGCCTGACGCAGGCACAGGGCCGATTCTGAAGGGATGTCCTGCATACTGAGCTCATTTCCTTCCAGCCGCAGCGTTCTCAGTTTGGAGAAGTTTGTCACGTCCACGATGGCGCAGAAGCTTCCCAGAGTGAACTCTGCAGCAAGACAGAGTGGGGAACGGATTTAGCCATTGCTTCAGTAAAAAGTGCAAAGGAGTGACTTTACAGGAAGTAACGTCGGTGTTGCAGCTTCATAAATGAGGTCACGCGGATTACCTTTGATCTGATTGGCTTGCAGATACAGGTGCTGCAGGGTGGTGCTGACAGAAGGAATTCTCTCCAGTTTGTTGTAGCTCAGGTCCAGCTCCACCAGCCCTGTCACGTTAAAGGTGTTGGGGGGGATGCCCTTGTCTGTCAGCTGGTTGTGGGCCATCCTGACGTACTGCAGCTGAGCTAAACCACCCAGGAAGCCTACAGGCAGGGAGTTGATGGAGTTGGACTCCAGGTAGAACTGGTGCAGATGTTCAGGAAGAGCATCTGGAACCTGGGAGAGACACTTTTGCTCAGGATGACGTGTTCCTAAAGAACAACTTAAGATATGAAGAAGAGTTGGACTGAACCTTTGTCAGCTTGTTGCCACTGATGTCGAGCAGTGTGAGTGACTTCAGAGTCTTCAGCGATGTGGTCATGTCTGTGATACCATTGTCCTGAAGATGTAGGATGGTGAGGTTATCCATTCCATCTAACTCTGCAGGCGTTACCTAGACAACAGCAGGAATCAAAGCCTTTTTTTCTACTTGGCATGCATCTGAAACAGGAAAACGCTCGATTACAGAAAACGTTTACCTTTTCGATCATGTTGCGGTTGACTCTCAGGTCTCGTAGGGAGCGAGGAAGATTGGGAGGGATGCTTGTCAGATTGTTGTGTTGTAAATATAAACGCTCCAATCCGTCCGTCTTCAAAAATACCTACACATTGTACCACAATTAAACATATGTAAATAAAATGATTAAACATTTGTCATTGCAAAAATGAAGAGTTAAATCACAGAAACATGTTTATTTATGTTTTGGTGAGAGTGGATGAATGTTGTAGACTGAAGAAACCTTTAACTTGTGCAGAGACAGCGAGCAGAAACACATTTACACATTTTAATGAGCAGCAGCTGAGCTTCTAACAACCTAATGTGCAGACTGATAGTTGGAGACCATTATCAGAGCTTGTAATGTGTTTAGATTGTTCAACAAGATGCTGGAAAAGATGCTTTTGGTATTTGAAAGCTAAATAAGAAGCAGAAAATCATCAAGTTGTTGGTTAATTACAAAGCCTGCCTGACTCGGTTTGATTACATCTCCTTCTTATCCTGAACTAATCAATCGAAGAGAAGATTCAGATGTTTTAAAATGGGTTTCTTTGGAAAGGTCATGAATATTTTACTCGTTGTGTTGCTGCTGTTTTGGCCAGACAGACAGACAGACAGACAGACAGACAGACAGACAGACAGACAGACAGACAGACAGATAGACAGACAGACAGACAGACAGACAGACAGATGATAGATAGATAGATAGATAGATAGATAGATAGATAGATAGATAGATAGATAGATAGATAGATAGATAGATAGATAGATAGATAGATAGATAGATAGATAGATAGATAGATAGATAGATAGATAGATAGATAGATAGATAGATAGATAGATAGATAGATAGATAGATAGATAGATAGATGATAGATAGATAGATAGATGATAGATAGATAGATAGATAGATAGATAGATAGATAGATAGATAGATAGATAGATAGATAGATAGATGATAGATAGATAGATAGATAGATAGATAGATAGATAGATAGATAGATAGATAGATAGATAGACAGATAGATAGATAGATAGATAGATAGATAGATAGATAGATAGATAGATAGATAGATAGATAGATAGATAGATAGATAGATAGATAGATAGATAGATAGATAGATAGATAGATAGATAGATAGATAGATGATAGATAGATAGATAGATAGATAGATAGATAGATAGATAGATAGATAGATAGATAGATAGATAGATAGATAGATAGATAGATAGATAGATAGATAGATAGATAGATGATAGATAGATAGATAGATGATAGAGCCTTCCTTCTGTGACTAGCCATTAGCCTGTCAATCCTGACTAAACTAATTGGTTTCTTCAAACTGAGGTCATTTATAGAGTTGGCTAAAACAAGTTTAATGTTAATTGTTCGCCACAGAGTCCCGCGTCAATAGACTGCTTTCAGCCTACTGGTTCCAAATGATGGGGGTTGGGACTCAAAGCTGGGTCAGGAAAGACCCAGGAAGTCTTGAGATGATGTCAATGGCACTTTACTGCTAATTGTTTTATAGAAATAAGATCAGTAGCTGGGACAGAAAATAAAATATAATCAAGTGGTTTGCAACTCTGTCCCATATCATGCTACTTAATACACATTACTTCAATATTACCCACACATCAGGTAAATGTATTATTAGTAATGCTGGTGTAGTTTGACCAGGATTCATGGTAACAAATCTCATTTACTTTTGTTTCATGTTTCAAAGGCTGGCAAGTCAGGAACCATTAAAAACAATCTCATCATCACTGAAGAATGCTTATTTACTGAGCAGTCTTTCACTCGGTTGGACATCTTTGAGCCCACTTCAGTAAATAAAGGATGGCATGTACCTTCTGGCCAATGGCATCAGAGGTCAGCTGGTTGTGATGCAGCAGGAGCCACACCAGGTTGGTTGCATTGACCAGAGCTGAGTCGGGCAAAGAAGTGATGGCGTTGTTTTGCAGGTACAGGTACTTGATGCGGGATGGGATGGAAGGCATGGCTGTCAGGCCCCGCCCATCACAGTACATTGCAATGGGGAAGGAGGGGGGGCAGTCACACTCATCAGGACAGGTCCCTCCTCTGGTGTCTGCATGCAAGGAGCCAAAATACTGTTCCTGTCTGTGCCGGTGAAACAGCCAGCCCAAAGGGTCCGGGGGACGGGAGAGGCAGAGGGGAAGCAGGATGGACAGCAGAAGTACAATTTCCAGACGTGTGCTCATTTTGATTCGGATCTTCACTGCTGTCGAATAAAATAATGATCCACATGAGTCATCACAATGGAAGAAAATGCATTTGTCTAAAAATACACATGCTGGAATGATTTATGATTAAAACAACTGTTGTTTAAGAATGGATAAAACAACTAAAGATGTTGGAGAGCATTAAATGCTTCTATAGCTCAACAGCTGAGGTTCATTGAAGACCTTGTTGTCTAAATCATTAGAGGTCTTAATCCACAGGAGAGCTAGGAGAACATGGACAACTTGGCCTGAACTCCAGATGTGGATATGCTTCCTCAGAACTAAAATAGATATGCTATGTGTTTTCTACAGTTAAGTGACATAAGTATTTAATTTTCTAAAATAAAATTTACAATAATAACCAAAAGCCTAAGAAATAACACACACAAGCACACACCCTTACCTGATCAGAGTCTGGCCCGCCTTGTCCCTGCTCTCTCAGGAATCGAGGGGACCCTGAAGAACTTAGAAAAAAATCTTCTCTCCTCCCTGCTCTCCCTTCCGTCGTGCCAGCCTTCACTCCTCCCCTCGGTCTGTTTTGCATCTGTTCGTTACTTCCACCCCTCCGTCCAGTCGGAGGCGCCCCCATTGTGCTGGTCTCGGAGAGCCTAGCACCCCACATGTGACTGATGAGAGGTGCAGCGAGTGTGAAAGATTGTTCCCATCTGTGTGCCCCCCCCCCCCCCCCCCCATTCTCTCATTTTTAGTGGGAACCCTGCAGTTTTATAACGGTGGGCAGATTTACAGGATTAGATTTTAATGAATCTCATTAGTTTTTCTTGTCTTTCTGAATATAACTGACTGAAGTTAACACAACATCTTATTTCATTAGAACACCTTACGTAAAGTCAACAGAAGCGTTGGTGTAACATGCAAACACACACGACAGAACATCCATCCTAATGTGATTATGAAAGCAAAAACTAATTTTGTGATTTTTATCGCAGTAATTCTGCTGAATAATGCCTCTTTAAACACTAATACAGACAAAAAGCAAAGTCCCACACACGTGTGATAATATAGAATGCCGATACACGTTTAAAAAGGAAGCTCCATGAATCACTCCACACTGTGTTTGCTGTAATTAGGTTGTAGGAACAAAGTAGGTGGAGAGGAAGGTAACGTTTGTGGGGAAAAACATCCAACAAGGGACTAAATGGGTATTTAGATGACAGGAGAAATAATGAATCTCTTAAGAATGCAGATATGATAATTACACAAATAAGAAACAGATCTCCCTCTATGTATTTTTTAAAGAATGTTTTTAATGGTTTCTTATGCACAATCAGACGCATGACTTTTTAAACAGTTTTTTTTTCTTTACACTGTTTGCCACTGAGGAATGCAGAATGATAATAAAGAAAGGAAAATGTGATATCTACGCATTCAGAGAAAAACGTATTATAAATAAAGGCATTTTTGGATGATTTTAACTTGTAATTCTATGAAAAATAAATGACTTAGTGTCCTGACAGGCCTACGTTTAAAGAAAAAAAAGCTTTTAGTCAGACTAACAGGCTAACAGCTAGTGTCCACTCAGTCAAGATCAAAGTTTAATAATGCATTTAAAGTAGCTTCAGTCAAAACATTTAGGAATTATTTCTGAAACATTCTGTATATGAATCTTTATACCAACATATTTTCAAAACACATGATTATGTTTGCAGATTTGTTAAGAAATTCCTGCCAGGCTCCTGGACGCACCAGAATATGAAAACACAGCTGTCAGACAAAACATTACTCAGAGAGAAGATTCCTGCAGGTGGCGCCGTTGGCAGGTGTCAGCCGAACTGTTATGCAATCACGTCATCAACGTGCGACAGAATGAAAGATTCAAGATTCATCAACACCAGTTTAAATGTATTTACTTTCCCTGTACTTCTGTACTTTTACTACAGTTATGTTATGTTAAAGAGAAAGTTCACTGAGAAACCAAGAGAAACTGAGAATGCAAGCTAGTCTTCTAACCCTACTTCCTGCGTTAGCCGCCTGGTAGAAGCTAATGTTAGCATTAGCGACATGTCCGAATACTGCTGCCTCCTGCTTCCCTCTCCTCCGGCTAACTTTGAACTCCTGAACAGGCGCACCAGAGCCTTTTCTCCCCACAGAAATGGACTCATCTAATGTCTGACAGTGTTTTCCTGAGACCTTAGAATGTCCTAAAATGTACAAAGTGCCACATTTTGCAGTTGACTTTGAATTTAACAGTGCCTTAATGACTTACATAAACATTTGACTATCATCCTATGTAAGATGATAGCACTGCAAGTTGGTCTTAATTGCACTCAAACTAGCCATTAGCTCATCAATCTTCATCAATCCAAAACTGAACCTCTCTAAAGTGAAATCTCCACAATTTACAGATAAACAGGGTCTTGCCTCTGTCAGTGGGCTCCAGGGCAGCTGTGGCTGCAATGTAGATTAGTATCACTGTGTGGATGTGTGTATGCATGGGCGAATGACTGATTGTGTTGTGAAGTGCCATGGGGGACTGCAGAACCCTAAAAGGTGCTACACAAATAGGGGCCATTTACCGTAAACACTTTTTCAAATGGCTTCAAACTACATTCATACGTATTTATATTCATGTAGCTTTTTCTTTGAACTAATTTGATTCTGTGGACATTTTTGCATGGTTTATTGTAAGTGGACAAAAATGATGCACAGATTGTGATTATGTTAGTGGGATCTTAGCTGACCACAGGAAACTGAAGCGCAGAAGAGTTTTTTTCTGATTGCAGCAGACAAACTGAAGCAATAATGCAGGCTTTAATTTGGCCAATAACACAATAAGCCTGTTTATTCTGCTGCAGATAGTCTAACAGTTTAACCCTTCAAAGACCACAGAAAGAAAAAAGCATGACCAAGTTTCTTTTTGGATAATTTTTAATTCATTTGGGACGATAATGACACCGTTTGTTTTTAGTTTTATTTGTTGAGTTCAGTACGATTTAGGGACTAAAACAACAGCAGTTATGTCAAACAAAGAGAAACTACATAATGCCATGTAGATTTTTAATAAACAGTACTAAATGATGTGTTGTCTTACTACTATGAACATTTTGTTTCCCTTCTGCTTTTTCTTTGCAGCCACATTTCACTAACTAGTCACAATATCAACACGTTCTTTATGAAACTGCCTCTCACTGTAAATCAGGAACTGCATTTTCAGATCTTTGAAGTGAGATGGCTCCAGCTTTAACCAGTTCTCATCTACAATCTTACATCTTGTTGCGTTAAACAGAACCACGTGTGAGTGTCGTCCCGTGCTGTCTGTCTGGTTCTGATGTGGGCCTCTTCCTGCCTCTGAATCTTTTCTCAGACTACAGCCTCGTCTGGATCAGAGCTTTCATGCTCATTTTCATCTTTGAATACTCCTAAAAATCAAAAGTCTGTTTTATTTGTTCCTTTTTCTCTGATTTCCTTTAGCCCCCTACAGTACTTCGTTCTACCTGCAATGTTCAGGAGGGATGAGAAATCTATTTCCAGCAAACAAAAACAAGATGTGATCATTTGAGAAAAGCAAAATGTATAAATCATGTAAATCTCACCTTTTGCACAATTTTGTGCAGCCATGTTGGTCTCTGCTGCCTCTATAAACATTTTAAATTTGAAAAACAACATTCATCCATTTTTTTGTGATGTCACAAATGGGTAATTAGCATCGAACCACCTCTCACATGCTGGAGAAGCAGTGGCTTTGCTCTGAGCCCCTATTGCATATCGGAGATCTCAGCTGGGTGTGACCAACCCCAAGCTGTTTGTTTAAAGTGAAACGGCTCATTCTGGAAGGTACTGAAATAGTCACAAAAAATAAATAAATAAAACAACTGCTGAGATTGTTTTTGTGAGAAAGGAATATGAACATGTTTTATATCACTCATGGAAATCTAACTTAAGAAGAGAAGTAAAAATTAGTCTATTTTAAAGGCCAAGTTCACTGAGAAATCTTGTTTAACATTCAGGATAAATGTGGAAATAGTCTTCTACCCCAATTTCCTACATTAGCCACCAATAGAAAAAATATGGGTAAATGCTCAGATTGGAAAAGTGACACTAGCACATGCAAATAGTAACATTCACGGACTTATACGGCTTGGCTCTCAACAGGGAAAGCTGTTGTTGATTTAGCGTCCCGGAGAGATCAGAGCACGTCTCAGCTAGTAGAAGCTAACCCTTAGTATTAGCAATTCCACAACATGGCAGAACCCCCTCAAGCTTGTGTTGTTTGCGGAGATAAAACATCCACGTTGCATAGCAATTGTAGTCAGGGATAGAATCATGTTGCTGTTAACCAATCAGAGGTGAGATGTCTGAATATCAGGAAGCTCAACTCAGCTGTGGCTCTCTTCTGGCACTTGAACCTGGAGCACCAGAGCTCCCCCCCCCCCCCCCCCCCCCCCCCACATAGGCATTAATTTAGAGACCATTGTGAATGTGCTGAGGAGAACAGGTACATGTGGTCTTTAATTCATAAATACAATGACCAAATATAATTTTTAAATCCTGTCTTTGAGATAATGTTGCTGTTAAAAATCTTTGTCATGTCACTTGTTACATTTTTTGACATTCGATTCTGCAGGTTTGATCCCGGCTCCCAACAGAGAATGCTGCTGTTGTGTCCTTGGGCAAAGCACTTTACCCTCCTTATCTGCTGGTGATGGTCAGAGGGACCAATGGAGCCTGTGCTCACAAGCCTTGCCTCCGTCAGTGTGCTCCAGGGCAGATGTGGCTACATTGTAGCTCATCACCACCAGTGTGTGAATGTGTGTGTGAATGGATGAATGATACACTGTAGTGTAAAGCTCCTCGGAGTCCTCTGACTCAAAGGTGCTACACAAGGGCATTCTTGAACTCATGCCTATGCTTTGAACAAACGTGAACCAGCAAACAAGCTCAAAACGCTACATTTTCTTCTGAAAGATCTCATTGTGAAATTATCGAGTCAAACCTTTACGTCTGACTCACACTAGAGCAGTTTTAGATCACCTCTAACGCCGGGGTTTAAATCTTCAAAGCCTCTTTCTTCTTCTTTGCGGTGCATCCTTTCAAACCTCTGGACATTTCAATAAAGCTGCTACCTTGTGCTCGGCATAAAACAAAGGAGTTTATTCCTGCACTTATCGTTTGAACACTTTTTGAAAAGTGGATATTATCTACTATTCTAATCATTCAACAAGTAAAACTCAACTGTGGCTGTAGAGATAACCACATGCATCAACATGTGGAGCTTTAAGAGACTCATTTTTTTCTGTGAATTTGTATTTCGTGGACAAAATGAGGCTGTTATAAATCAAAAGTTACTCACATCAAAGGTCTGTGAGGATGCATGAGCACATTTCCTAAAGTGCTGACATATCCTCTCAAATTCCTCTTATGGTTTATAAAGCGCTTGCCTCAGAGCTGCATCATCATTCAGACTGATCACAACGCGCTTCTGTCAACGCTGAAGTATTTCTGAAGAATGAACAGTTTAAAGTCTTCTGGCTCTGGGCTGTTAACTTCAAGTAGTTTATCTTTTACTCCAACATCAGACGTTTAAAGTCTCCTTGCACTCAAACTGAAAGGAAACGGAACGGCCTGCGTGGCATTAGGACTGAGTTTGAAAACTGCCATGATTGCATTTTTTCATTTCT